TTAATTTTTAAAGATACCTAAATGCTTGCGGAGCCCCCCTACAACCTCAACTCCAGGTGGTACAGTCTGAAACTACCTGCAGTGTGTCTGGGGTGCCCCAAGCCCTCCGTGGCCTGGACTACTGGCCAGAGCAGCCGACTGGTGGTTAGCCAGGCAGGCCCAGGTCCTTTGGCTTTACCAGCTGCAGGAACCAGAACATGGGAGACCCTCTGAAGGAGTGGCCAGGGTGTGCTTGGCGGGAAAGTGCAGGACAATTAGAACTGAACAGCTACCTGGGCTAACTAACCCACAGACTGAGAGGGCGATAGAGAATCTCTCTTATCTGCCCTTCAGATCAAGCACAAGCCTCAGCATTCCCAGGAAGAATGAGTGTCACTTAAAACTGCTGTTTTGTCTGCTTCCTCCCTCAATTAGAGAAGCTTTGTGGCACTGAGACCAAATGAGTCAATAAAGAGGGCTTATTTACCATTTGGCACTCACACGGAGCCGGCTCTGCCCACTCTCTCCCTGGTTCTCATTTATTCCCTCTCCATAGCCTTCTTCCCCATCTTTTAAACCAATTAAGGGGACTGTAGATTTGGCCCGAGCGCCACAAAAGCTGTTCTTTTGGAGTATTGAGTTTTTCAGTCAACAAGGAGAGGCCCGCCAAGATCCCTTTATCTCAAAGACAAACAAAGGCAGCTAATGAGGGAGGTGGGAGGACCCGGGGAAGGAGAGGGGACATTCTGGAAGCTTTAGCAATTCTTTGGAGGAGATAACTTGATTTTATGCAGACTGGATTTTATGCCCTGGATCTTTTCAGCCAAGAAGCTCACTACCATGCAGCCATAGGTCCACTGGATGGCGACAGAGAGCCACCGATTTCCAGGTCCTTGCCCTCCTTGTTGCTGAAGTTGAAAATCCCCTGCTCATTCGGAGAAACAATACCAAGAGTTCTACCCAAGAGGTGTCTATCCCCCCTTCCCACCCTTTTACCCTTATCTCGTGTCTTCGCATCCAACTGTGGCCACATTTGTAGCTTTCAATGATGAGGAACATAAGTTTGCATACATACAGCTGGTATCTATGGGTTCCCCATCCTCAGGGTCAACCAAGGATGGAAAATATTTGAAAAATAACTGTATTTGTACTGAACACGTATAGATATTCTTCCTTGTCATTATTCCCTAAATAATATGGTTATAGTATTTATATAGCACTAACAGTGTATTAAGAACTATAAATAAGCTAGATAGAATTTAACATATTTGGGAAGTTGTACTCAGGTTATATACAAATACTATGGCATTTTATGTAAAGAACATGAGCATCCGCACACAGATTTGGGTGTCAAGGGATCCTGAAACCAGTCTCCCTTGGATAGCAAGGGCCACTTCTGTCTCTCTCGTTTTAATCTCCCGAGGAAACTGGCTCACAACATTTTGCCTTCTTTATTTTAGGCAAGGAATGTGTTGCTCTTTGAAAAAGATCTTTTTAAATTGAGAAGAACTAAGTAGCCACCCTTGCTGGGTATGAAATCATTTGTCCAAAGGTCTCTGTCAGACTCGGGGCTGAGTGTCCTGCCCCGGGGATGACATCATCTCCTGACCCGGTGTGACCTGCGGCGGCAACAGGAGGTCTTGTGGGTGGTAGGAGAGAGGAGCAAAGAAGCTCAGTGGCTTCCTGCACACGGGAGGGAAACCTGGGTCACACAGGGAACACCAGGGCCCACGGGAGTGGATGTTCTCCTGGGACTTAACCGATGGTGTTGTTCTAAAGACAAATTCCTGAGGAGTATTTGGGGCAAGATACAGAACAGGGATGTCTTTCAGCCACATTGCAAATTTGAAAGAGCCAGACGTCTTTTTGACTTTGCATTCAGCCTGGGCCAGCTTGCCTGACGTTGGAAAGGCAAAAGGGGGAAAGGGAATTAAAGAAGGAAGAGAGGAGAGGAGAGGGATAGAGGAGCCGAGGGATGATGGGTTGTCTTCATGATGCGAGTTGCCCTCCAATGCTTGAAAGACAACCCTAGTTGGAACCTCTGCCCCATGTCCCCGGCCATCTACCCAGGTTGTGTGTAGGACACAGCGAGAGCCAGATTCTGACCACGGGAAGTCAAGAGGGCCACGGGCTGCTGGGTGAGGTCCCCTGGCTGGCTGGGTGGGGTCCCCTGGCTGTTGGATGTGCAGCCTGAGAAGCCCCTGCCTGGGGCTTGGCGTGGGAATGCAGGACACCCACACCAGGGTCTGCTCCGCAGAGAACTTGAGCAGGATTTCACCAGGTTCCCTGGGATCCTGACACCATGCCATCCTGTGTCACCTGCTGATCCACTGCCACCTGGAGCTGTGTGGGAGGGAGGGGCGTGGGGCCAGCTGCAAAGGGCAGCATGGCCTGAGGAGGCAACTTGGGGAGCCAGAGCGGAGCAGAGTGGCCAGCCCGGGCTTGAGGTGTGAAGGCGGCGGCATGGACATTCAAGTGGCAGTGTCCCCATCAGCTGGACAGGGCCAGAAGTCAAAGTCAAGGAAGGGGACGTCGTTGGAGTAGAATTGAATGTAACCTCACTGAATCAAATAACGTCACTTGGTGTTTACCTAGTCTTCCGTAAGTGGGGAAAAAGGCACACTCATACACTGCTGGTGGGACTGCAATTGGTGCAGCCCAATATGGAAAGCAGTATGGAGAGTCCTTGGAAAACTGGGAATGGAACCACCATCTGACCCAGCTGTCCCTCTCCTCAGTCTATACCAAAGGACTTAAAAACAGCATACTACAGGGACACAGCCACATCAATGTGGCACAATTCACAATAGCTAAACTGTGGAGCCAACCTAGATGAACTTCAGTAGATGGATGGATAAAAAAATGTGGCATATATACACAATGGAATATTACTCAGCAATAAAAGAGAATAAAATCATGGCATTTGCAGTAAATGGATGGCGTTGGAGAATATAAGTGAATATAAGTGAAATCAAATATAAGTGAAATCAGCTAATCCCAAAAGAAAACAAATGGCGAGTGTTTTCTCTGATATAAGGAGGTTGATTCATAGTGGGGTAGGGAGGGGGACCATGGGAGGGACAGATAAACTCTAGATAGGGCAGAGGGGTGGGAGGGGAAGGGAGGGGACACAGGGTTAGAAGTGATGATGGAATGTGATGGACATTATTATCCAAAGTACATGTATGAAGACACGAATTGGGGACACTGTCACTTTGTATACAACCAGATATATGAAGAATTGTTCTCTATAGGTGTAATAAAAATTGTAATGCATTCTGCTGTCATATATAAAATTTTTTTTTTAAAAAAAGAAGAGAGGAGGGAGGGAAGGAAGGGGCACAGGGGTGGAAATGATGGTGGAATGAGATGGACATCATTACCCTGAGTACATGTATGAAGACACGAATGGTGTGAAAATACTTTGTGTACAATCAGTGACTTGAAAAATTGTGCTCTATATGTGTAAGGAAATGAATTGAATTCTGCCATCATGTATAACAAATTAGAATAAATAATTTAATAATAATAAAAATAAATAATTTAATAATATTAAGAAAGAAGCAAAAGAGGGACATTCTTAGCTTAGAGCAGGCTAAAGAGACAGGAGTGGACACATCTCTGGAGAGATGACAGAATTCGCTTCTGCTTTTGGATGAAATAGGAAATTGTGTGTTTAAAAGCCACATACCAATTTATTTGGCTGAAGCAGTTCAGATTTGCTGACTGGGTTGTGGCCAAGTCACTGATTTGAACTGTGTTTCCCAGGCTATTTGAGGTTTCTGACTTGACCATCCAATGGTTTTTGTTTGCTTCAACACTCAGCAAAAATAATACTCTATATTTGTAGAAGACTTAACAAGTTTTAGAGCATGAGCACAGCTGTTTGATTTACACAGCAATTATGCTGAAGGGAGGGCACTATTAGCATTCTTGCTTCACCAAGTGCAGATGTTTTGGCCCAGAAAGAGCAGGGTGACACTTCAAAGTCACCTGTAAGGTGTTCAGAGTGGGCAGAAGTCAGGTTTCTCGTCCCCAATCTAACGTTCATTTTACTTTTGAGCTTGATGGTTGTTTTTAATTTATTTATTTTACAGGATATCTTCTTCATGCTTATAAGCTGATTTATTAAGTGTTTCTTACTTTGATTTTATTTTTTTAGCTTCATAGTGATTCTTGACTCCCCTTATCAGGTGACCCAAGGGTGACATGAGAAGAAGTGTCATAGTGTCCCCTTACCGTCCTTGGCTGCATGAGTGGCAGGGTACAGTCAGGGAATGGGGAGACCTTAGGGCAGGAGGGGAGATGGAGCGCTGTGGCCCAATCTGCCTTCCCAGAGCTGCAGAGAGCCCCTTGACACTCACCGTCCTGGCCAGTACTCACCCCCTTCCTTCTATGACAATCATTTCATGTGTGTGAGAGGCAGTTTATAATCCTTCTTGAGCAGTGGAGTGTGATTTCTCAAAGCCAGAACGTTCTGCCTGGTGCTTCGGAGGAGTCAGTTTTGAAGACAAGCACATACCCAGCGTTTCTACCCTGAAGGATTCGATGGGTACCTTTTGATAATTCTTAGCCTAATGAGTTTGGGAAGTCTCCTAAGCCATGGAATGGCATCGGCAGGGGTGGAGGGGTTCTTAAACTCTCCTCCAAGTTAGCCACTTTTTGGTTGCTTTCCTTGTTCTAAATCACCCAGATACCCAGCGGGACTGAGAACCGGCCCCCACGGAACCTCCAGCAGCAAGACTTCATTAGGCTCTCCCTCGTTTAATCTTCTCATGCAAAATATTCTCACACTGGGTCCCTTGGCAAACGCCCTGAACAAGTTTCATTTCAATAATATTGCTTTGTATTTATATGACCTCTATATCTAAGGAGCTTAAAAACACTTATGGCCCATGCTTCATTACTCAGTTTAACCAAAAGGAAAGGCAGCCCACTTCATATTAACAAATTCAAGCTCTCCCTTTGGGGACATTTAATAATAACAGCACTCTGACAGTAGGGCACCGTTCTCTTCCTAGGAGCTCAGAGCCATTTAGACAATGAGACGAAGAACAGATAAAACAAGCGCTCCACCTAAGGTAGCACCGTACAATGGGAGCAGCGTGGACATCAGAGGCAGAACTTGAGAATTCCGTGCACACTGACTGCAAGTCTGAAGAAGGGGAGTTAACGGGAGGAAAGGAAAGTGACTTCCTTTATTGTTCCTTGTCACAAATCTGAGGTCTGTCTGTCTCCTTCCCTCCTCCTTCCCCCCCACCCCGCCCCCCTCTCTCTCTTCCTTTCTGTGGAAAGGCAGAGTCTCCCACCCCTGCCTCTGCTTCCAGAGGTGAGGAGTATTCTTTATCTTTACTTTCTGGCTGGCTCTCCAAGATGTTGACAGACATAGAGCAGGATGCCGTCTCTGGTCAAGTCCCAATTAACCCAGGGCTCAGGGTTGATGATGTGGGGGATGCTGCTGTGTAGTGGGCCCTTCCCATCTCAATGCTCACTAGGTCTGCAGAGCCTGGTGGGCCCTCTCTTGAGGGAGTCTGGCTCTTTGAGAACCATCTCTTAGTTCTCAGGCCTGCAGATGTATAAAGGTTCACCCACCCATGTTCTAGTGTCCAGATGTTAGCCAGACTCTAGAGGACCCCCGCTGTGCGTTGACATTCGCCTGTCCCTCAGCTCCACTTCTCTTGTCCCTTAAACCTGTTCTTCCAGAATCCTGGCCTGGTGACTCCTCAGTCACAAGGGTGCACACTGCTCCTTGGAGTGCCACAGTCCCTGCACACTGCCAGTCCCCATTTTCTGTCCTTGGAATCTCTCTTGACATTCCTCCTGGGAAAACTCAGGGTGCAGTTTGGGAGAGGCAGAACTTTCGACTGCCCTTTCTTTTAAAACTGCCTTCCAAGACCTGATCTCACACCCCTGCACCCTGTAGCTGCACATCTCCTATATTTGTTAAGGTTGGGGGACATAGTGAGTTCTCAGTGTCTAACATTCTAATGCTCCCAAGAGAAACTTGTTTTCCTAGTTCCCTTAAAAACGTGAACTGGTGCCTCAAACAGAGACCAGCACAGACCTCCTCAGGGCGGCACAGAATAACTGGCTACTCTGAGAATCTCGTTTTTCTTGCTCCACAGAATCTGATTGAAGCGGAAGGGAAATAGAAGCTGAAGGATCTGCCATCTAGAGACTCCAGGCTTCTCTGAGCAAATATTCCATAGTAGGGGACCTCTGGCTTCTTGGCATAGATACGGCAACTTGAACTTGGCCCCCATAAGGGTGCATATGCTGTTCCAAGTCAGGATTGCACACAGCAACTGACCATACTGTGCACGGGGCAAATATTTATGGGACAATAAATGTGAGCGAAGCATGTTTGTGTTCTGTGCCTAACTGGCGATGGAACACGCAGATCGACTGATTTCCTCCATCCCCGTAGGAGGAGCTGTGGCCCGTGTCCTCTCGGATCTGCCTTAGAGTGCTGGCCCTTCAAGCCTAGGACAAGAGATGGGGCTGGGGCAAGGGGATGCCCTCAACTGATTTAGGACTCAGGCTTTGGGAAGAGCACAGGGCCCGGCGGTGCTGCTGTGTGTGACCCAGGTGGACCATGACTTCAGATTCCCCCTGTATAAGCGGAGTATCTTTGCTACTTGGGATAGGGATTATCCTGTGAATCAAGCTTTTCGTAGACCTCTGCAAGAACAAAGAAGAAAGTGAACATGATATGACCAATGCTTTCGGCAAATAGAAGCAGGGGAAATCGCTCCGGGACAATAAACTTCTCTGTTTGGGACGTCAATCTCACTGGGAATTTTCAGACAAATCATTCAGAAAATACACTCAATCACGCAACAGTAGTAGATACCATGTGATCATTCCAACATGACCGCAACGCACTGAATAGTTATTGCTTCTTTATTTTTAAATAGCCCATAGGCAGAACAACAACAACAAAAAAAAACAACTCAAGAAACAAATTCCAAAGGTTAGATTTTAGAAATCCTGCTGTTAGTAACTGTCACACAAGTGTCTTAGCAGAGGGGCAGATAACTGTAGTCAAAGAAATATTAGTATCCAAGGATAATTTGCGCACTTGTCAGTATAAATTTTTAAATGAAACAGAAAGCCGGGGCTGCGTTTCTTTTCGTTAAAGCAACCTCCTGTGCTTCCCCGGCCTGCTCGCTATTGTTATGTGGCGGGTAGATTTCACATTCCTTCTGCATTATTGTAACAGACAAGTCTAAGACACTGTCTAATGTTAATTCTACACACTGCTGCCAATTATAATCAGAGCTAGTCAAAATAAACAAATTAAACAAATAAACATGTCAAAACATCTCTGATTTAGGGAAAATAAGCCAAGTCTGAACTCTTGCAGTGTTTCGGCATAAATGATGGGCTGTGGGTTGTAAAACGCTCCATAACATTTTTTCACCTTTGCTAGGGGGAAGGTGGGTCAGTTTAGAATTACGGCCCAGCTCAACTTTGAGAAAGGGGTCTGCGACGGAGACCAAATCAAACCCAAATGTTGCTGGCTTCACCTCGGGCAGTAATGATCTGCTGCATGCTCTAAATGCCTTACAAAGAAAGAAGGAAAGAAAGAAAAAAGCAGTTGATTCTTTGCTGACGTGATGCCAGAACCCCTAAATCACTGGAGAGGTTGATGGCAACGCAGGTGAGCGTAGACCCCAGGCGGATGCACATTTCCATCTGAAACAAACTGTCACCGTGACATTTCCCAATCAGCACGTTGAAAATACCCGGCAATTAAGTTAGAAAGCTCTGTTGGCTTCAAGAGGGAGTATGAGACATGACTTTGCTACTCAAGTAGAAAATCTTGGCTAGAGGTAAGCGCAAATGATGAGGGGTCTGGGGTCAAAGGTATGTGCGTGAGTGTGTGTGTGTGTGTGTGTGTGTGTGTGTGTGTGGTATGTTAACCTATAAAAATATGGAGAGAGGTTAGGGGAGAAGGCTGTCATTCTGGCAGGTGGTTCTTGTAAAAAGGTGATCTCTTGAAGTTCAAGAAATTTTAAAATTATCTACACCCAGCCTTGGCAGCAAGCCACGGAGCAAGTGACGGGTACCTGCTCCTGGGCATTCTTCTTTCAACCAGTACCAACCCAGTGCCATCTCTCTGCCAGGCGCCAGGCAACCAAGAGGGGAGCCATGCTGTCAGGACCTCCTTGTTTCCCATTGGGAAGTTGCAAGGTGGGGTTGGGGACAGGCCCGTTGGTGATGGGCAGTGCAGGGAGAGTGGCCCCCAGGTGTCTTGCGGTTCCAATTGCACCTCTCACCGAGGGAGTGGAATTCGGGAAGGTGCTGCTCCATGCACAGAGAGGGGCTTTGCAAAGGACAGAGAGGGTGACATCCCTACCTCCAGAAGACGGAGGACTCGGTTCCTTCTCTGTCTCCCATGGCTGTTATTTTTAACGTGTGCTGTGCTTGGAAGGGACTGGGGTGGGGGTGGAACACACTGTGCCTTTGAAAGGCTGTTTTCCGAGGACAGTATATAGAATCTCGGTTATTAACAACCTCTCACAAGACAGTTATTTTTGGAGTGGCCTCTTAGGAGGCAACCTCTTGGAAGTGAACTCATTTATTTTGCGTCTCACTGTCCTGCCATTTCCTGCAGAGAGAGGGGAAAAGCGAAACCACATGTTTTGAGGAGCGAATGGAGGAAATCCCTCCGAAGACAAATGACGACTCCTCTCCCCTGGCAATTAGTCAAACCTGGGCTGCAGGCCAGCCCAGGTGTTCCCGACTGTGTATAAATTTGCCAAAGAACAATGAAAATAGCAGCTGATTGTGCTGACAGATTCTTCTGGTAATTTCCTGTTGTTTGGCATCTTCAGGTTACTTTCCCACAATTATAGCTGCTGATGAAGACGGGGGCCCTTCGAAGTAATTTTCTGACTCTCCCCTTGCCCCTTTCTGTCATCCTACCAACAAGCAGCCTCTTAGCCCCAACTTAAAAGAAACGAAACAATCAAAATCTGAAGCCGAGTTAGAAAAACATTTCAGAGAAGTGGACCTTTTTTCTCTACACCCCCCCTTGCCCAGATGTTTGAATTTAATCCCCTTGCAAAATACATATTTTAATGAGTCTGAATTTAAAAGAGGAAGAAAAAAAAATGATTTGCACCTGTGTCCTATAGAGTTTCTTGGCAACCGTGAGCTGGGTTTCGGGTTCCTTCTGATTTTCCAACTTACAAGTTGGAAGGGTTCCTTGTGTTGTCCACTAGTATCTAATCTCAGGGAAGCTGGGTCAGTTGGTGCTGCCACTGAGAGAGACTGGACTCAGATTGTGCCCTGGCCAGAGCTTGGGCTCACTTGGATGTGGTCCCTTGTGGACGGGAGTGCCTTTGCTCAGTTATGGCTCCCCATTCCTTCTTTGGTTTAAGAAAAACGGAGCTACTATTACGTGTGGGTGGACGTCGTACTTGCACCCAGAGCATTTGGGGGTGAAGTGGAAATGAAGGGAATTGCACAATTTTCTCAAATCTCCGCATGATCCAATCTGTCAGGAAGCTGTGCATACTTTCCCGGTTACAGCAACTATGTAAAAGTTTTTTTTATTTCTTTTTTTTTTTTTTCTGGAGGGGGTGGGAAGCCGGAGTTGTTGCTGAGACGCTGCCAAGGGACGGGTTTCTTTCTCTCGGCTTCTCCCTTCCCTGGCCCCTCAACCCCCAGAGGAGAGAGCCAATGCTCTCTGCAATGTGGGTTTGCAAAAGAGCTGCTGAGGATATATTAGACGGCAGCATAATGTATTGAACTTTTCTAAACAGGGTTCTGCGTCCCCTATTAATCAGGACTTCTAGTCAGGAGAATTGCAAAAGAAATAAAAAATTCCAGGATAATCCACAGCCTTTGAGAGGAGGGCAAATCTCAGAACCTGTCACATCTAAAAAATGTTTTTGAGATTGGCCTTGACTAACTGGTCGGTCTCCTCAGTTCTGCATACATTTTTCGTAGAAGACTATTTCTTTCTGTGTTTAGGTGAGAAATGTGGAAAAGAAAAAACTCATCGAACAGACGTGAAGTCTGAAAGCAAATGGAAGATATTTTTCTAGATCCCTGGACCACTTAAGAATAACAACAAAACATCCAGGTGATGGTAGGATTGGAGAAAGTTTGAAATGACACATGACATAGAAATGTGCTGGTTGTTTGCAAGCTGTCAATCACCCTCCCACCCTCATACACATACTCAATTAGCATATGCTTGGGGGTGTTGATAAAAGAACTAATTACAGTTCTAGAAAAATGCCTTTAATTTATGTCATTTGTTATGCACTTCATCAAGAAAGCCATTCATTCATTCGTTTTTAATTAATTAATTTATTCATTAATTTACTTACCATTTGTTGAACACCCTCCATGTGCTGAACTGTTCAAAGAATTTTTTTTTTAAATTTCTACTGTTGATCACAATCGAATCTGCTCTCTCCCTTTGCAAAGCCCTACCCACCTGAAGTCAAGTAGGACCTTCTCCCTGCAATCTTCCTTACTTTGTATTCTAGTTCTTATTAATCTTAATTTTCTCCAACTAGCATAGCACACATTCATTCATTCATTGAGACACAATGAAGGAACGCTTAAAACATGCGTTGTTCTGGGGAGAGAATGTTCAGCCAATGAGGACAGCGCCTCGCCTGTTGGATCTTACAGTGGGGCACAGCCAGTTAAATAGACTCTAATAGTACCTGTGCTAAATGCTGTGAGCAGCGGGGGACTAGGAGGCTGTGGGAACAGAGAGGGGAGGCTTGAAGCTGAGCCTGGAAGGAGGAGCAGTAATCCCCGGATGGGCTGTGTGTGTAGCTGGCCCAGGCAGGGGGACTGCAGAACCGAGCGTGAGAGAGGGGAACCCTGGGAAAGGCCTGCTGTCCGTCCTTGGGGAGCTGGGAGTGGTGTCCCACCCCCAAGGGCTCTGAGGACAGTGCACACCTTCAGGCACACGTGGGAGACCCGGGAGGAAGGATACTGGCAAGAAACGAGACCCCCGAGGTGAGCAGAGGCCCAGTCCCGCATGGCCACTGACACTGTTGGTGGGCAGTGTGGACGTGGGCTGGAGGTGGAGCTGTGGCAATGTTTGAGGCAAGGAAGCGGCGTAGTTGGGTTTGTGTTTGGAAAAAGAGGACTCTGCCCCCATGTGGACAGCAGATTGGCTGGGGCAGTGCAAGTGAAGGAGGTCGTGAATGGAAATCATCTCCTTTGGTCTCAGTGAGAGATGCTCCCCACCTCACCCTGCCCTGGGGATACCAAAACCCAGGATGCTCCAGCCCCTTACTTAACAGGTGTAGCATTTGCAGGTAACCTACACACCTCCTCCGACCACTTTAAGGCATCTCTGGATTACTTAGCATCCCTAACACATGCAAATGCGTTGTAAGTAGTTATTGTGCTCTATTATTTAGGAAATCAGGAAAGAAAAATTTGTACCTGTTCAGTGTAGACGGGACCCTGCGGATGCAGAGGGATGCCTGTCTACTCTTCTGCTGGCCCATCACCCCGAGGGCACTAGCCTTTTCTCTTTAGGTCACAAGCATCCTGAAACCAGGAGCCATTTTTACCTTCCTGTGCACAGCTGACACAGATCGATGCTCAGTAAACACTGGCAGTAGTTGGATTTTATTTTCAGTGTTTTAAAACCTGACAGCACTGCACTAGCCCTTTAGGGGGGCATGCCCGGAGGGAGACTTTTCTGGGTGAGTCCCATAAAAGCAATAGCTGCACCTCAGTCTACCAAGACAAAGACCCATGCTTTGCCTTTCTACCTTCTTACTTCTCAAGAGACAGAAGTTGTGATTTTATGTGCCACATGTAGTTCCCAACATGAAGTCAATGAACGCTTGCCAAGAGGCCAGGCAAATTCCAACTGAGGGAAAGTGGGACTTGTAGAGTTGGGCTGGAAGAGCGTCGGTGTTGTTTGCAAGGCTGCGGAGGTAGGGACTGGTGGTTAATTTCCCTGCATTTCCCCGGAAAAAGTGGCTCCCCTCTACCACCCACCAGGCGCATTCCTCCATGTCCACCGGGGAATCTGACCCCGTTAGCACTTGATATTTATGACCAACATTTGCCAGTGATTATATTAACAGTCAAATGATTATAATTCTAAATGCAATTGTGTATGTGTTCTCGTCAGGGGGAGGTCTGGTTAGGGCAGCAGTATTCTTGAAGCAAATCTATTGTCTCTTAAACTGTATTCCCACAATACCAAATCGGACCTTTTGCTAATGTACTTCTTAAAGACCGCAGAGTCAGAGAGTATAGTAGCTGGAAGGGGCATTATTCAGGTGAGGAAATTGAAACCCAGAAGGACTAGGTGTTGGTCTGGGGCCACACAGTTAGAGATAACAGAGCTGGAGCAAAAAAACGGACTCCCCGTCAGGGCTCTCCCATGGAGCCGCAGGGCTCTGTGTATACTGCCTTCCCACAGGCTCCTCTGAAAGCAGCCTCAGGGGTTCTGTGTTTATCCAGGGTTTCATCTTTCTCCACTTCTTTGCCATCTCCTTAGGCACCTGAGGCCGCTGGTCTCCCTGGATGGTTGCAGGTGACATACATTCCTTGGCTTTCCCTCCTGCGGTCACTGGACCTAGAGCTCAGACCCTGGGAGCCCTACCTTCAGGCACAATCCTCGTGCTACCCCTCTAGCTCCCTGGCCACTTCCTCTGCACTCTCTCCAGATCATTTGTAGTCACTCCTCTGTCCTTACAGGTCATCAGAGGTATTCTCAATCTTCATTCGTTAATTTGTCACATTCACAATGATAACGATAGCCCAAAACAGACTATAGTCAACATTTTTCTTTAGATCAACTAATTTTTTTTAACTTAAATTCTTTT